ATGTATTCTGGCAAAATTATGACTTATTTTGAAAACTTTATGTCTCTTTATTGCTAAGGCTGGGACAAGCTAATGGAATCCTTTTACAGGCTTCCTTGTTCTTTGAACAAAGTAGGAGCTTACCTTTCACATTGTGTTAAGAAATGAATCACAAGGGAAATGTAGACCTTTTAAGTCTCGATCGAGAACCAGGGGAAAACAGAAGGGGGCTCCAGGGTACTCCAGGGACATGACTGTCCAGGGATATCGTTCACCAGGTGAAGACAAAAAGGTATTGGCTGTCTTGGCCTAGAAGCACACTGGAAAAAGGCAGAGCAAAGATTCATTGGAGTGAAGCAAGTGACTTCAGGTGGAATTGAAGATAGGATGGTATATGAGTTAATTTCTGTCAGGAAGTGAGGTATACCTGTTTTGCTGATGACCTTAAGATCTTGAACAAATCAATACTCTTGTCTGTTTGGTTTCTTTTCTTACAAGATGAGAGTGTTATAAGGGCAGTGGATGGAAAGACCTTTATATACAAAAGATTCAACTAGAAGTTTGAGTTCTTTCTTTGGCTTCAAGGGGTACTGGGGGAAGTTTGGATAATGGGTTGTAGAACATATCCGAATAGTTTCTTCTCCCATTATTTTTTCTATGTCAGTGGAATTTCTAGCCCATAGAGGGTCAGATATGGTGTCAAGATCTTGACCTGAGGTATGTGTTAAATACAATGGGGAATGCAAAGGTATATTCAGAAGAGACAATTGCTTATGAATAGACAAGTCCTCTGAAACCTCAAGAAATAGTCCCTCTAGTGTGCTTTTAATATAATAATTTGATGTGTAAAGTAAGTTCTACCCTGACAGATTTGCAGATGTGTTGTCATGGAGTAGGAAGGAATGTTTCCAGTCAAAGTCCTCAAAGGTTACATTTAAAGGCTGGGAGATAGGGAAAATCTGTGAGTCATTTGAAATACTGGTCATCCATGTGCTACTTTTACAGCAAGGAAAAGAAAGAGCCAAGATTGGCAGAGTTTAACGTAGAATGAGTAGCTATATTGCTTTTTATTGGAAATGTTTCAGGTATGGTTTTTAGGAGACTTTATCCAACTTTTCAGGCTTGTTGTTGGACCCTTAGGTATCCTGTGGTGAGAGAGATCCTGTAGGTCCTTTCCTGAGTCAGTTCAATCTGCATTACCATCAGAAAATTAGCATCTGCAGTTCTGACCAATATGTGTATGAATGAAATATGCATCAGGTAATTCTGGGTCTTATACACCCAAAATAATTTTAAATTCTTTTATGAATATTTGCTGGTATTGTCTGAATTTAGGGAAATTTTGTAAGTAGCTCCTAATTCAGCTGAAGTCTAAGGTCTAAACTCTACAGTTGTCTGAATACCTGGTGCATGGAGGTCGATCTTCAGAGGCAGCTGGCATTTTGGGTTCTTGGGAGGTTTGTTGGGAAAGGGTAGGGGACCTGAATGAGGAGAATTGGAAAGAGGAGTCAGTGGAAGTTTAGGAGAGACAATGGCAGAGAAGAGCTGGGGAAGATCTGGAATAGAGAGGCAAATGGAGGATTTAATAGGGAAATAATTCTATTGTTGTTTTTCAAATTTATCATTAGCTTTGGCCAGAGAATTTTTTTATGAAACAACTTTTGACTGAGAGTTTTGTTTGGAGGCCTCCTTATGTGGCCTGCTCATTGAAACTGAGAAATCTTATTCCTTTCTCTTCTAAGACACCTCCCAAAGGAACAATTTTGTTCAAGTCAAATCATCCTTAGTGAAGTTATGTCATTTAGAGATATAGGCACAAAAATGAAGAGTTTAATGAGATAATATGTTAGAAGCAGGCATTTTTTTTTACTGGAAGAGTAGATTTAGAGTTAAACTACCCAGTAAGAGCTGGCAATGTGGGTAAAATGTGGTGCTTGTGCACCTCATGTCTTAGGCAGCCAACATGACTTCTCTGAATGCAGACTCCACAGTCTGTACCACCTAACACTAGAGAGAATACTCTTTGTGGATTAAGGCCCAACATTCAGCACAAAAGGAAATTAAGAGAAGAGAAACTCATCTGGTTTTATTGAAGACCCACTGCAAAACGTGTCCAAATGGATGCCAGTCTGATGAGAACTGCAAAGTCACAAGACTGAAGTTGGCTCAAACAACAGGCTTACAGGACATAATATGTGTTCTACCCTGTGAGTCTCTTTCTTATGAAAAACAAGACGTGTAATCAGCACAGCAGAAAATGGAATCATGAGGAGAACAAAAGGGCATAAAAAGGAGTGTCTAGATTCCGCCAGTGATGCCAAATAAATGGAACTGGTGAGAAAATCTGGTACCAAACTGAGAATAAATAGCTAAGGAAGTCAATGCAACGAGAGAGTTCAGATGTGGCATTGACTTTGAACATTTGTGTGGACACTATATGCTGACAGTAGCTTATAGCTCAAAGTTCTTCATGGGTACCACAGCTGGTCCAGGGCTGTGATCCATGGCGAGGGGCAGTAGAGACTATACCTCACTGGGACCTCTAAGAGAACTGGAGGAAATCAAATAAGGCCCCCCCAAAGGAGAACAGGCAGAGGCTGTTTATTCAGAGGTTTCTATTCAGCAAGAGAGTCAGCCCACCACTTGGAGAGAGTGATAGGCAGGTAGGAGAGTGGGGAAGGTTTATTGTGGAAAAAGGGAGGGATTCAGTTGTGTGTGAATGAAGGTCGTTGGCAGGGGGAAGCTAGAGACAGGCTAACTAGAAGCAGGGAATTCTAGGTAATTGATTTGATTTGTGAAGTTTGTGTCTTAGGCATAGCATATTTGGCTTTTTTTTGCTGGTCCTAAGATGAAGGAGGGATGAAACTTGGGGAAGCTGGCAGTTGTTGACCAAGTCCTGGTCATTTGGGAGGTAGAGATCAGAGTGGTGAGTCTGATCATTTGGGGCCACTTACCACAGAGGTTATGATTTTTTTTCTGGGTTGGTTTCTGGAAAGTTTGTGAGTCAGAATTCTGTTGTCGTAAGTGGTCTGGCCATTGTTCATTTGTATATTCAGTCTCTCAGATCCTATTACCCCCAAAGCTACAAAGGAGTCTAGCTCCTTAATAGCATCTCCTGCCATCACTGACCCACCCTGGTCCTCTGAACTTAGTGACACCGGTGCCTCTCCAGTGCATGCTTTTTGCTTAGTTATACAGTGTCCCTCCAGGCCTTTCCACACTCCTACTAGGCTGATATATTATTCATCCTTAGGTAGTATATCCAGTGTATCATAGTCATTGCTCTGGACCTTTTGTATTTATTGTATTATATTATAAACTGAGTTACTGGCCTGTTGGCCAAGTGAGGAGATGAGGGTAAATCTTGAAGTTATTGCATGTTGTCTGGCCAGGCAGATGCTTCTGCCTCATCTTAGAGCAAGGTAGATGAGCAAGCTTTTATAGAGAGTGGTGGGCCACTATTGTAGGACAAGAGGATTAAAAGAGATTTGGGGATTCAAGTAATTCCTGTAGATACATGAATATCCAATGTCTCAGGACTCAGTCATTCTGTGATCTTACCATTACATATGAAATGGATAAATAATATGTGAAATATATATGTATAAAAAAGAATGAAGTTCCACCATTTGCAACAACATGGATGTACTTGCAGAGTACTGCTTAATGAAGTAAGTCAGACAGAGAAAGCATTATACTGTATATTATCACTTACATGTGGACTCTAACAAAAGAAAACAAATAATGTATATAATAAGACAGAAACAGACTCACAGATAGAAAGAACAAATTAGTGGTTACCAGTGGGGAGAGGGAAGGGGGTAGGGACAAGATAGATATGGAATTAAGAGATACAAACTACTATGTGTAAAATAGATAAGCAACAAGGATATATTGGATAGCAGAAAGAAATATACCCATTATTTAGTAATAACTTTAATTGGAATATTATCCATAAAATTTTGATTTTTTTATACACCTGAAGTTAATACAATATTGTAAATCACCTATACTTTACACAGAAAAGACAAGATGACCCTATTAAACATACAGTTCAACTTGGATTTGAAGTAATATCCAATAAAAACAGTTTAAGGAAAAATAAGATGTATGAAGCTTGTCAAAAAGTAAGAGACAATATTCTCATTATTTGGAGATATTAGTATGTTTATCGGTCAAACAAGACAATCTACAGAGAACTGATTACATAAATTAAATAAATTTGCTGGATACAGAACAACATAAGAACAAATTATTTCTATATGCCAGTAACAATGTACGAAACATATTTGGAATCTTAGTAGTATAAAAACATGGAATCTTCAGAATTTCAAATTTTCCAGAACAAGAGAGTTGTATTAAAAACAAATAAGAAAAGAATGGAAAACAGTTAGTTCTTATGTGAAAATACCCCCACAAGCCCAGCAATATAATTAAATTTGCCCACCTAGTCATTTGAAAAATAGTCAGTGATCATTGTTTCCATCCTGTGTTTTGTACCCTACAAATATTTGTCCACCTACAACCATTGGCTAGATCCCCCCAGGGGGGCTGGAGCCACCATCCAGAAAAGATCAAAATGGTTAGAGGGTTGTCATCAACTAGCAGGGACACAAGTGCCAAAGCCCTGTAAGCAAAAGAAATTTAGCAATTATTATGGGGCTGCAGGGACGGTGGTGGTGGATGGGCAGCGGTAGGACACCTGGAAAAGCATGCCTTTTTAGAGAAAACTGCTGGCGCTCAGGTTTGAAAGGAAAACGGGGGTGGGGGCTGGGGAGGGGGTAGAGCTGCTTAAGGCTGACCTCCCTAGAGAAACCGAATCAGCAGTCTGGATGTCTGCAAGGACACTGTATTTCAAGTGGCTTCTCTTTGCCCAGGTGATCTTCCTGTCTGGTGTTTTAGTCAGCCACTGATGCCAAATTCTGCAATGCAGTGTGCGTCCAAAAAAATATCTGCCTGTTGTGATTCTTGCCCGGTGGGCAATATGCACAAAACCAGTATCATAAGACTTTGGCCCGCTCCTAAGCCAGGTGGCGAGGAATTGAGGGAGGCAACTGATTCCGGGAACAGGCATCTCTGGGCCTTGCGCGCAGGACCATGAGGGCGTTGGGGGCGCTCGTGAGGAGCTGGATTGGGAGAAGGAGGTAGAGGTTGGAGTGGTGAGTCTGGGAGGGGCTCCAGAAGGTGGAAATCTAGATTGTAGCCCTGATAAGGAGAGCATGTCTCTGGACTAGGGTTGGAGGCCCGAGGTGAGGGCTCTGGGACTAGGCCCAACATGTCGGGGTCAGATGCCCTTCTTGCAGGGGAGCGGAGCCCAGCGACTGAGCCGGCTGCAGCTTCCATTCCAGGCAGCAGGAACTCGGCGTCCACATCCTCCTCGGAAACCTCTTCCTGTGCGGCGATCTCTGGGACAGATCCGTATAAGAATCCCTGCTCGAGGGCGATATACTCCCCGGGAGCGCTCAGAAGAGCTCCCTGTTCCAGGCCGAGAGATGAGTGGCCTTGTCCTCCCAAGCATTCCGTTACGGAGGCCAGGAGGGTTTCGGGGACCACCATAACGGTGTGATCTCTGAGAGATACTTGCTGCACAGACGTAGCCTCGGGCTCCAGCACCAGGTCAACGTCGTCTAGGGGCAGGTATAAGGCACAGTCGGCATCCAGAACCACCACAGAGGTGCGCGCGTCCGCGGCCCGGGGCCTGGTCAGGTTGTCCGGGCTGGACGCTGCCTCAGACTCGGGGTCCGAGGGCTCGTTGGTTCGGCGGCGCTTGGCAGGGCCGGCTCCCTCGGCCTGAGGTCCCCACCGGTCCACAGAGTAGGCGCTGGGGCTGCGGGGCCTGCTGCCCATTACCTCTATGGCGCAGCGGGTCCGGGGCCTGGCAGAGTGCGAGGTGCAGTCGGTCGTGCAGGCAGTGACAGGTGGGCCGACAGGTGAGACCGACCGGGGCATTGGGGCTCAGGACCTCGGGACGCGGGACAAATATTCAGAGATTCTGCGGCGCCTGTAGGGAGTTCTGCAGTCCTGGCTTCTAGGGTAGCTACTGGGTTCCGCCTTGGGTGTTGGAATCTTCAGCTCCTCACGCGGACCGGTTTGCGCAGGATTAGGCTAAAGATGTAAGTGACGCGAGAGGAACGGCAGCCGCAAAGCAGCCTCACGCCAAGCTCCGCCCCCTCCGAGGCTCCGCTTGTAACTAGGTAGTTACAAGTGGAGGTAACTGAGTTGGGGAATAGCCCGGGCTGTGGTGGATGGGTCACTGAGAGAAATACTTTTATAGGCCTCAAGGGGGCGGAGTAGTGGTGCCTCTCTAGGGCTAGGTTTCCGGGGTCAAGTTCTTGGCTTTCCTGGAGTTGACCTGATATGCGGAAAGCCTTAACCGGAAAATGGATTAAAGTTTAAGTCCGTGCGTGGAACGCTGCACCAAGAGCCTGACATGTAGTTCCGTCGTCCCCTGAGACCTCGCCCTGGAAGTGACCTTTTAGCTTCCTTTGGTCTTGTAATAGGGTGAGTTAAGCCACAATTTGTGTAAGTTGTCAATAACTGTCAGGTCCTTCCAGCGGTGTTGTGAAGGGAAAGCCACGTTAGAATTGAGCCTTAATAGCAGCCGCTGCATGATCAACTTGTATATCAATCAGTTTAGCAGGATGGTCATTGTTACACTCCCATCAAACGAGCTAAGAGTTTACTTTCTCTAATTTGACTTAAACTACACCAGAGGGGTGTTATCTGTTGTAGCCCAGTTTACTGATAATGAAAACGTCATGGCGAAAGAGGAACCAATTTACTCAGGGGCCCAGAACCAGCAGAGCTTGGGTCTGACTATCAGGCTCCCCTGAAGATGACGCAGCAGCGGCGCCTTTGATCTGAGGGTCAGTGTGCAGGCGCAACTGCGCTGCCAATCCAGGGAACCAAGGAAGGTGTGGCTCAACTGCTCTTCCAGAGAAAACCCCCAACACTGATTTTGAAATAGGTACTACTGGCCAGTGGTTGTAGAGCACAGTGAAATACTTTCTACCACAGTTGTCCTTTAAACACGCCATTGCTCACTTTGTCCGTTTTTATGAAGTAGTGTAGTATCTACTCATTTTTAGGGCTTCATAGCGTTGCTTTCTACCGAATTATATTTCAATCAGGAATCTCTGGATGGGCAGTGAACCTCGTGATCTGTGACTTGGCAGGCACGGGTATTCTCTGGCCAATGGGTGTAAAATGCACATTCTTTACTGGATGTCGGAACCACTGATCAGAATTCCTAGAGCAATGGGCCATGGGATTCTTGTAAGCCCCTCCAGAATGATTCTGTTTTATGCCAAGTTGAAGATCATAGAACTTGTTTTCATCCACATTTGAGGGGTTCAGGTACAAGGGTGGTTTGCGTCTGAGGTCAGAGCTCTGCTGGTTGGTGACAAAGTCATGAAGGGAACTCAGACTTCCTGGACCAGGATTAAGGGTTTTTCCCTGCATGCGTGGCCCGCATCTGCTCTTACGTCTGGATTTCCGGTGTTTCTGTCTATGAACCAAGAAATTCCCCTGTGGTAGTGACTTAGGTCTGGATCCTGGCTAGAGGAACACACACTGCCTATACACCAGCATTAGAGGGCCCTCCTGAGGTCCCATGGTGTAAAGTTGGATGCCGCTGGCACCTACCTCTATAGTCCCAAGTGTTGGGAACAGTTACTGTGCTCCTGTTGTTCGGACAGAGAGTGGGTTGGGAAGATGGGAGAGGGAGGAGTGGGAGCTTCCAGGAAACAACTGCTTTGGCCCTGGGGAATTCTGTAGGTGATCCTTGAACATCCTATGGTCAGGGAATAATGGCAACACCATTCAGGAGAGCGAATGTGGACGTGCCATGTTGTAAGGGACAGATGGAGAAGTGCAAAGCTGGCCTGGACACAGGGTGGGGCTCGTGGCTCCGGGCATAACCAGTGTTGGGGATCTGAACACAAAGGTGTCTGTCCTTGTCTGTTGCTCTCCAGACCTCAGCAGTTTTACCTCCGGGCTCATCATTGTCCTGGGTCCTGTGAATCCTCACTGTGAGCTCCCCTTGCAACGGAAGGTAGTCCTGTCCCAAAACAAAGGCAGTTAGCAGGGGTCCTACCATAGATGCACCTGATTTCCTCTCCTGGTCAGCCCCTTTCTAATTGGGTGGTCATGGGCAAGTCATTTCACCTTCTCTAATCTCAGTTTCCTTACAGGTGAAATAAAGAGAAAGCCATCTACTATGCAGGGAAGTTGAGAGATAATGTATGTAAAATGTTCTTGGAATATACTAAGTGCTTAGTAAATAGTAGCTGTCCAGTTGTTATTATGTTTATAATCTGTCTTTCCCACTTGACAGCTGTCAGCTCTGTTCTCAGCATCTTGAACAGTGCCTGGCATGTAGCTGGGGTTCAGTGAATGGTAAACAATATCCCCCTCCTCCTCCTCATCATCCTGAAAGGGAATCTGATCTGTTAGAAAGTTCTCTTCCAAGTGTTTTCATCATATAACTTTTATATAATTCGGGAATGGCTTGCTGGGCACTAGATCATATATCTTTCATTCTGCCTTATTTTTCTTTACTCTGAGATGCCCATAGATTGTCGGGGTGGATTATCAGTCCCATTCCTTGGGCTTTCTTGGTGTCAGTCGGTAATGCCTAATCAATCAGCAGGAACTGCTTGAACCACTGTAGGGGAGGAATTAGCAAGTCAGTGTCTGGTTCTGGGCAGGGTAAAAGATGGCTGTAGATGGGTCTCTGGGAGAAGAAAGCTGAGGGAGCTTGGGGACAGGAAGCTAGGCACAAGATGGACATGGCTCAGTGGGACTCAGGAGTTTTCTCCACATTGGGCATCTGGGCACTGTGAATCCTTTGTTGCTTCATATGAGACTCTGAGGCCCAGGTCCAGAGCTCCAGCCCAAGAGTGCTCTTGGCATTGGCTCTAATGAGGGCCATTCTGTTATCCCCTAGAATGCATAACTAGCTTTAAGAAATTTCTAATTATTTTAATTCACATTAGTAATAATATCTGAATACATTTTAAAGAACATCTAAACAGCATAGTTGAAGCTGTAGTCTCCCTTCCACTCGCCAGCAACTCCCATTTCAGGGTTGATATGGCAAGTTCCTTTTCTATGTATTACATGCATAACACATGGGATTTGTTTTCTTCCTGGAATGGCAAAGTATTGTGAGTATTTTTCTGCAGTGTTGCTTATTGCTGTCTGGTACTGTCATCCGCAAAGTACATTATCTCACCCAGCTTTCATTCAAAAGGTCTTTCCCAACATGCAATACTGGCTTCTATAGGAAAATGTTGTATAAGCAAAGGCAACTTCAAATATCTCTCGTACAGCAACACCTCAGTGTTTGCCTGAAGCAGAATGATGGTAGTGGCCCACTCATTTTCTGCTTACCTTACAGCAATTCAGGTAATTCTGGTAGATTATGCTGTGCTTTCTTTACTTCCTGAAAAAATTACTGAGGTGTGAATGGCATTGTATTACTGGTGCTATTCCAATGCTTAGAACTGATGATGGCATATGTGATTACAAATCATTAATCCCTTACTATTTTAGGAATGACAAAACTGTCATTAAAGAAGTTATTTAGAATTTTAACAGGTAAGGCTGAAGCTGAAGCTAAATAGCAGTTTGTTTTTTCCACTAAATACTTCAACTTCTCTTATTGTAAGTGAAAGCCAATTATTTCTGTATATTAATTTTGTATTCAGCTTTCTTATGGAATTCTCCTTACTTTTTGGGTATATAATCATATGATCTGTAAATGGCCTTATTTTCTCTCCTTTCAAAATTTTAAACATCTATTCTTTTCTTGTTTAGTTTTGTTGGGTAGTGTCACCAGTACAATGTCAAATACTTGTCAGAAAGTGGCATGTTTTTCTTGTTCTAGACTTTGGTTGTACTCCTGCTAGTGTTTACCTATTAAACCTGTTATTGGCTGTTATTCAGAAATAGATGTATTGTCAAGGAAGTATCGAAGTTTAAAAAATTTTTAATATTATAAATTTAAATCTATTTATTAAGGTATAACATAAATACTGAAAAATGCATGATCCATAAATGCCCAGCTCAAAGAATTTTTACAAAATGGATACACGTGTAACCCCCCCTCAAGACAAGGAGAATGTGACCAGCTTCCCAGAACTCCTCAAGCAACCTCCCATTCACTCTACCTACCGTGCTTCTCAACGATCATTTCTGTCCTGCCTTCTAACATCATCAGTTACTGCTTGCTGTCCTTTATATAACTGAAATAATTCACTTTCATCTTTGTGTTTAGTGTTTGTTTGTTGTGATGTGTAGCTGTCGTTTGTTCATTTTCACTTCTGTAAAAATTCCATTGTAAGGATATACTATTATTTATTCTCTTGTTGATAGGCATTTTCTGTTTTTAGTTTTGGACTGTTACAAATGGCTGCTACAAACAGTCTTGTACATGACTTTCGTTGCACTTGGGCCCACATTTCTGTTGACTGAATATCTAGGAATAGAATTGCTTTATCATAATATATTTGTACATTCAACTTTATCAAATAGTTTCCCAAAGTGATTGCATCAATTTACATACACACCAACAGCATTTGAGCACTCTTTTTGCTCTACACATCCTTACTGACACATTATTCTAGCCATTGAAGGGATATGCATATCTCATAAAGTTTTATATAATGAGGTGGATCACCTTATCATATGTTTATTGGCCATTTCTATACACTCTTTTCTAAATGCCTATTCAAGTCTCTTGCCATTTTTCTATTGGGTGGTTGGTCTTTGTTTACAGCATTAGTTTGGAGAAGTTCTTTGTGCGTTCCGGTTTTGAGTTCTTTGTTTTTTGTTTTTTGTTTTTA